TGACAATGGGAGGGAAGGAATCCGAGAAACCGATCCCCTCACGAACCGTGAAGGTTGGCAACAATGCAGGATCCGAAGGAAAAATGGCCGCGAATAAATCCATTAAAAATTGAAAGCATTATTCCGGTGTTGGCTATTCTGGTTGAATATGGCACTCACCTTGTATAAACGTACCGTACGATCAATCCATACGATAACGGCTTTATAGATATGTGGCGGAAAAAAGAAACTTCATTATATAACAAAATCAATGTAAAAGGATTAGGTTATAGATAAGCATTGGGACAAACATCAGCTAATGTAATTAACATATGTGAGCTTATAACCTTCAAGGTCATATTCTATTTTTTTATTATCCGGATTAGGAATTGATTGTTCTTGTCCTAAATGAATAACATAACCTTGATAAGACAAAACAATCAAAGAAAAGGAAAATTATAATTGTGCCAAACATTAGGTTTTTAAGGACAGTAAAAAAAAAGAAGAGAAAAATAGATGGTTTTCCAATCTAGAACAAATTTAACTTAGAAACTTTGGTAAACTTCAACAAAGATATAAGGTTAGTCTCTTAAGTCTATTTAAGAGTTATCTACAATAGCAACTTTTGTTGTTTTTTCGTGAAATGCGGTCAAAATATATTTTGGCTATTTTACTTCAATGCCGATTTATTATTATCAAACTTAACAATCTGATTTAAAATATTTGAACCATCATAGTGTGATTCGATGAAATAAAAAAAATAAAGCTAATTTGATTAATAAATTTTCTCATATGTTACTATGGCCATATTGAATACTGATTCAATACGTGCCTATTTTAAGATAACAAAACTCTTAAAAAGCTATTATATAAACGAATGTTGTACAATACTCGAGTATAAAATGTGGTTAAAAAAAGAGAAACGCGTTGTGAGATTAAAAAGAAAAGTTTAAGAACATTTAATTAGAGAGAAGAAGATATCATTATGCAGACATAAAGCAAAAATAAATATCATCACAAAAACCGAACAAGGAAACCACACTATCAACAAAAAAAACACACGGATTCATTTTACCAAATCTATCCGAGGAGGCAATTAGATAAAAATAACGGAGGAAAACAAGGACATGACACGACTGTGTAGGGCGTTTCCTTAAAAAATTACTTCGAGAAAGAGAGAGAGACAGAAGGGGGGAGGGAGGGAGAGAAGTTTTCAGAAGTAGAACAAACGTTCCCCACCACTTCTGGAACGAGACGTTCAACCTTATCTCACCCTGGTAAATATTTGCTTCCTCTCCAACTCTCGCTAACTTCAGAAAAAACAAATGGATTCCGTCTTAGCCGAGATAAGATAATGTTTTATTTGTTCCACTTATAGTGAGCCATTTTTGCTTTAATAAACTTGTTAGCATTTCATTTAAATATACATGAAATTGGTATATGGATTATTTATTTATTGTATATTTGCACGGACCAATAAATGCTAATATTTTTCCAATTATTAACATCTAAAGGATAACTAATGTAGTCAACGTATTTCACTGTAGGAACGTGGACGATAGCAAACATTACGAAGTATTCGAGTAAATGTTTACCAGCAAATACACTATCGGTGTTTAACCCAAAGATAATATCCCTAAACCAGTAAAGGACATCTTGATTCAATTCCAAATAAAGCAGCCGTACCTAGATCGGGAGAGGTGAATGAGCTCCCCTCGCTGACAATAGAGCAGGACTAGAATGGATGGACTAATGTAACAGATGCGGCTATGACAGCCCTGGGAGTACGGGGGGTGGTGGGGACTACCTGGCTATAGTCAGGTGCCTAACCATATGGTGCCTCCGACACCCACGTCAATATCCAGGTCTCTGCTTTCTCTAAGGGCCTCAGTTAATTATCCTATTGTCTATAATAGGCGATTCCAATTTCGAATGAACTGTACTGAGGAAGGGGAGGGAGAGGATTTCCATAACACTAGGTCATATCAAGCAATCATAACTAGAACGGTACAATCAAAACACATTGTGCGTGTAAAAAAACATATACTAATAAAAAGTGGTAACAATACTAATTCACTTAAGAACAATGAGAGAACAGGTTCCACAATACAAGATGTTTTTTGTTTTGTTTTAGAGAGAGAAAAAAATGACCTTGGAGTATTTAACTAGATTTCCTCACCGCGATTCCATAAACCGATGGTAGAAAAATGATCCGAGAAACACAAGACCAGTGAAAAAATAACGTGATAACCTGAACTAATTTTATTTTCGAAAGTCCTCGGTAATAGCTGTCGTTTCGTTCCTAACGCAATTAACCATTTCGAGCGACTTTCTAGTAAACATGGAAGTGACGTTCTACCAGTCATTATCGCTACTCACTCAGAGATAACAATGATTGAGGCAACAATTACAATATTTACACAAACACAGGTCATTGTGAATCGAATAAATCCGCTAATTTGATTAAACAGGGCAACATATCAAAAATCAACACTGAAATATCGAAGGGGATTGAACCAGATGAGTTATCCGAATCGATTAATAACCGTCGAATGGTTCCACACAAAAGGGGAAGGAGGGCGACCCGACCCCCTTTGAGGTCATCCATGCAATACATGGATAATTACAAATGGCTAGGTAAACCCCGATGCCTTATCCAACGACGTCGTATAAACAGCTAGCCATCTATCGGCAAAGAGAGAAAGATAATTTATCGCCTACATTTTATCTTTTTGTACACCTTCATCAGGCCTCGGGGATAATAGCCGAGTGAAAAAGCTCAGGTAAAAGCAGAGGATTTAATGGCCTACCTGGAGGGGTCGGTTGGGGTCACCGGATTCCGCCAATTCGGAATAATAAAATAATATAATTACTAATCGGTAATTATTGATTAATAAACTTTTCCAATGAGAAAAGAGCTCGTTGATTATAAATAGAAAAGAATGTAACGGTGAAAAACATGACCTGGTTTTGTAAACGGTGATGAGAAAACTCTGTTTTCGATAGGGGCTTTGATTGACAGATGAGAGGATGCAGGGAACGAAAGCACCTTTTGTGCTAGACATATCAAGGGTTTAAAAACAGATGTTTGCTGAGTCGAAGATATTTAAAACTGTTCATACGCATTGATTTCTATTTCTGTTTATCTTTTGGTAACGGCTAAAAAAAAATATTTTTAACTCACTAAAAGAAAGAAAAAATTTACTCAGGAATAATAGAATTAACAAATTTTAACAACACTTTGCATATATATATAAGACAAACTAACTACGTTACTCCTTGCGAAAATTCGACAGGATGAAAAGGCAATTTGTACAAATAAAATTATGAGATTGCTCATGGGAAAAAGAGTAGGAAGGGTATGCGAACTCTAATTGTGATGTAAGATAGGTCGTTCTGCCCGTTCTGGGAACTGAGAGTCTGTCCTCCGGGAACATCCAGCTATATCCTGGAACAGATCTCCAACCGCATTTTTCAAACCGGATTTACGAGAAAAAAAAGTTGTATCTATAACTTAATTGAATTTATTTATTTATTATTATTATTATTATTTAAAGAAATAGGCCTATGACACGGCAGAATTAACAAGATTTCATTACCGCTTGAGAAAGAAAAAAAATACGAAATGTAACTACAGCATTTAACATTGGAATGTGGTAAAAAAATATCTAAGCTCTCATTAGCGAACTTTGATATTTTTTTTTTTCATTAATAACAACAAAATTAATTAATAACCGCCGTAATCATAATGTAACGATGGACGAGAATGTGGGACGATTTTATTTGATAAAAATAAAAAGAACATAAGATAAGGTTGTTTGTTCAACCTTATATGAGATTCGAATTCGCAGCGGAGTTGAGAAACACTAACTCATCAAGACTAAATCGGTACCATTAAGTTCCCACGACGGGATGGTAACTTGGTATAGAGCCCGAACAATAATATTGACCACAGAGCAGGGCAAACATGGCCCAGTGGGAGCAGCGGAAGTGCAAGAGGATGCGAAGGGAACACAGTTGTTTACCCACCGCCATATTTGATTCCTTTACTACCTACATGCTCGGCGTGATTCACGTCTCCCATTATACCAAACCCATTTATTATCATTCCTTTCCTCCGGCCTTTCTTCCTCCCCCTTTTTTAAACTTTTATTATCTTCTTTTTTCAGCTTAGGATTCTAATGTCCTTCTATTTTTATTTTAAATAGATTACTACTCATTTAAATCATAATTGACTTGAGGAGTTGAGAGATATGCATTAGGTAAATGGGTTAAATATAGTAAGATTAGGAAATTCCATTGACGCATCTGATCAATAAATCTTCATTATAATAATGTTAGGATTGATCAAGGCATTTAGTAATTAATACGTAATAGGTATATATATTTTTTTTAAAAAATGTTACGAACAGAACTATGCAATACGATTACGGCTCTCGACCTTTTACCGAATAATTGAAGGTCGTACACGACACCCCGAAGGCGATTGTTACAACCGAAACCTTGAAAGTCAACGTCTAAGACAGAAAGTCAATAACCACATCTATTTGTGTATTGAGGAGCGAGTATATTCGCCCGCACGAGGTCGGAGCGAGGGCTATCTCAAAACAAGTTATGTAACTAAACGCATGAATAAGGAAAATGCCATTTCGTCAGCGCTACTCCAAAGAGAATGGTATTTCCCCTCGGCCTTTAGCATGATGAGGATAATGAGGGCTGAATGGTCAGTATGAGAACCGAATGCCCCAGGTAAGGAAAGGGCTTGAAAAGGGAAACTAGGAGGAAGCTCATGCATTAATCATATCGGGGGTCCCTTTGGACCCTAGTCAGCTTTAATATATTTTTTTGTTAATATCTATTTAAAACTTCAAGAAAAGGCCTAATTTATATTATATCATGATGGATTTTAATTAATTATGCAATGGCCTTGGGTGATTGGTCACGACTTGAAACTTGAACCTGATGGGAAGGGACTTACACACCCCCTAGGGTTGCTAGTATATTACGCTATGAGTGCTTACCTTTTGCTGAGCTAGCCTCAAGGACTCCTCGAAGTGCTTATGGACGGCTTGTTCGGCCGCACGCTGCTTCTCCTGCCTTTCTCGTTCGATACGTTCCCTGTCCTGCTTTTCCTTCTCCTTCTGTGCTGCTTCCTGCTCTCTCCGGTCCCTTCAGAACAGAACAAAAACTTTCGGTTACACACTCGACTCTCCCTCTTACAACCAGAGGCCACCATTCCAAACACATTACAACTAATTTCTTTTTTTTTTTTTTTTTTTTTTTTTTTAAACATGGAAACCTGCATGAACACAGACACAAATAAACTCTACGCGATAATATAATGAAGGCACTAAAAAGATATGAAGAACCTACGGAAACGTCGGGTTTGGAGCTAAGAGGTTATCAACCATGAACATGATTCGGCCATTGAGACGAGACGACTGGGGGCAGCGGGCACCCCCACTCCAAGATGGCGGCCGGCCCCCACCCCGCCTGATTCATAGCGCCTCTCTTGCCCATTACTAACCGCATATCCTCTTTTATACACAATGCAACACCTATTGATCCAATCCCATCCTACACTTTTCTCAATTATTTACATCTTTATACCCACGAGTCATTAAGGATATTTTAAATTTATGGACCATGTATTTTCTCCCCTCTTCCACTTTGAAGACAATGCTTACCGATACGTTTCAGTGCATTCCGTTGGAAATGTGACGTTAGCAAAACATCACTTTTGTCAACAAGGCAGTTTGTTCGTTGAAGAAAAATCACATTTCAACAATATCTAAAACCGAACAATTAGATTTTATATTACTCTCCGCTCACCAGAATATTAGTAAAAAATCCATTAAATAATCACACTTTCACTGTTTTCCATTCGAAAAAAACAGCAACAATAATATATAAAAATTTAAGAATCAATAATTTAGAGAAAATAACTAGAATATTAACTGAATCGTTAACATATAGGCGCGATTTCAGAGCTTAGAAGTCACTCAACCGAATAGCTAAGTTCCGAAATACAAACCATCAATTCGGACCCAAGAGCCAATAGTAAATTCCAATCCGGCCCCGAACTCGGCCAAAGTTTCGCTAATAGGAACACAAGTTGGAGACGGTGGGTGTCGGATCTGGGCCGCCGCGGGAGTGGGGTTAACGACTGTAGCATCCGGCCGGGGTGTCCTGTCTTATTTAACGGCAGCCAGCTCACTTGTTTCTCCGCTAAAAACAATTATCCACCGCTACGCCCTTGTTTCAAGACGTTTTATAAGTAGGCAAACGTAACACCATCAACAATGGCTACGAGCTCGGAGATAAATAAAGATATTAACAACAGTCAACCTTTAAGAACAACTGTTTACTACAATAAATTTAAACAAAAATAATAGTCCTGTAAATTCTAGTCTGGTATGGAGTAAATAAAACACGTCACGGATAAGATATATGCATGTATTCTAACTATGGTACGAAAATACAAAAGTAATAAATAAGTAAAATTAATTTATAGCTGTAAACAAACCTGATCTACCTCATTGTTATGGAAAGAATTAGGGCCAGACCATAGAATGATTCTCGGAAAAACTAGTGATCCCAGACCCTAAACACATCCGATTTCACGACCGACCTGCCCTTGAAGGGACGAAGCAGGTACCCGAGTGCATCTGGGCTTCCACTGTCTCCGTCATTCCAATCTGGTCACAATCTACTCGCAGCCCATCGGAATATGGTTAGCTTCCGAAATATGTCTCTTACACAAATAATGAGTGCGGTGGGAAACACGATTTGAGCCGTATCAAGTTGAAAGGAGTAAACAAAACGAGGGCTGGGTCATTATTCAAGAGGAGAGCTGAGAGAATGTGCGTAAATAAATAAAATGTGTACTATAAATAAAGCGGATGAAGAAGTGTGGCAGGGAGCTCTAAATATAGTGGGCTTCTGCTCCCCCCTGCCAGGGGCCCTCTCAACACGTAGCGGTTATCTACCGACAAAATGACCTCAAATATTTTCTATCGGTTCTTTTTGTACATAGTGCCTTCATAACAATACGCTCTACCTATACTTAATTATAAATTATTTCTTAGTATTTTCATTCAATATGATTCCACTCATTTGTCTAGAAATAAAACTATTTAGGTAAATATTATTGACACAGCAACAACTGAATCTTTTATGTTTTAATTATTCTTCAACATTCTAGGAACGTAGTAGGAATACATTCCAAATACTAACATTAACCAGTTACAAATACTTCTCAAAACATACAAATCTATACTCCACGGTAAAGACCAATTTTTTTATCAAATTATTAACACCCGTCTTAAACTTAATGAGGTGTCCTTTTTTTGTAACCTACAACTCTTTTATATGCAAAAAATTAATAAATAAGTAATTTTATCATTAAAATAATCAATTTAATGATACTCGAAATTCACGAATTCCCATTTTCTGTCCACTTTAATTGTAACATAATTTGATCACGAAATAGAGAAAAAAGGTGGAACATATTGGGTTGTGTTAAGCCTAGATAACCTCATTATTTTGTCAAGTTGGATTTTGTTTTGTAATCAAATTATCTTACGATTTAAATGGAAAGCAAATAATAGGTGCTCATCAGCTGTTTTTGAGAATTTTCGTAAATAAGAAAATTGTAGGATACTGTGAGATGAAGCCATTCACGAATTTTCAGACGGGTATTAATAATTTGATAAAAAAAGGTGTGTTCCGCGGAATAAAAATGCTCCTGAAAGCATAAAAAACTAACTGCCCGTTGATTCAAAACCATATGAAACGTGTAAACGTATGATGACTTATCAAAACCTGTTAATTGAAAATTACATAAAAAAGATCTCCATATTCCATAAAGCGGTATTAAAATGGGTTACTATCAAGCCGCTCCGTTTATGCGACGTCGATAAAACGGGTGACTAAGAATAAGACTGATTAAAAGTTTTATCGCCACGTGTGAATCACTCCACCTCTTCGAGTCTCTTATATCTTTTTTATAGCCGAATAAAACAGATCCTTTCTAAAAACAATTATTAAATTCTACATAATATTAAATCATATTTTTAATTGTTCGAAAATTATCGTATCAGTAATTGAACTTGATTCTAAACTCTCTTACAGATAATTGAATTTATATAAATGAATAACCTTCGATAAGATAAAATAATATTTTAATCAAACAATAAAATATTTCTCATGTTAATATATTCTAATCATAATATAGGAAATGCACACAGCGGATTTGCTTTTGTGAACAAAATACTTATTTGCAAACAATAATAATAAAAAGTGCTGAAAAAGTTGGTCAAGGTTTCACTTGACTTTCGCTAAATTGTTTCTTCATCCAAAATGAAGCCGTTTAGAATAATTTATTTATATTATTAATTGACAGTATTATGCCGGTAATTTTTACCACGTATTGTATAGGGTTTTTTTTTTTCAAGAAAATTCCTTAACTGGCCATGAATTTAAATTATGTTTGCCTAATGAGTACAGAGTTATTAACATTAAGGACCATCGTTCTTGTGATATACATGATATGATATACAAAAGCATCTTAATGCACTTTTGTTAACATTTCTTTAATAATTGACTAAAAATGATAAGCTACTAAACCATATATTTCATGAATTAAAACGTTGTATGTAGGAATATTAAAAAAAAAAAAAAAAAGAATACTTAACGGAAAATCATAAATCTAAACATGAAAACAAGTCATAAAAGGGTCAAGCAGACCCAGAGTAATGTTGAGTGAGGACTGAATAGGGACAGACCACAAAGAATTCAGGCCCAACCCTCAGACATTTTAAAGTGTCACTGATCCCTGCAACTACCTGCACAAGAAAGAAATGTCCTAAGATGGGTCTATTACGATTTCAGTCATTAACTTTCATTAAAATCGTCTGCCAATCGGTCACACGGATTTAACTAAAATATTAAAAGAAGGTTACTACGTGCGTGTATATATATATATATATATATATATATATATATATATGTATACATACACATATACATACACATACATATGTACACAAACCGCTAGCTAAATAAGGGAATTAATGCAAATGAGGTAACGGTCAAGGAATTCATAATCTTAAGCCGTGCGGGAGAAAGTTGGAGTGGAGGGGAGAACACAATACAATTGTCCACCACCAGGGGGCGGGCTGCACGAATGTGGGAGCTTTAATTGTATGGTTGTATAGTTGTATAGTGCCCCTATGCTGAAATAATACATCAGCAGCTAGGATGAAAGTCAGCTCTGCGAGGAGGAAACAACCATTAATAACAGCTGTTGTAATTGTTCGTCATCCTACCATCTAGCTTCTCCGAGGCTACTTTCGAGAATATTATAATTAGTGGGAATAGTCGGGTAGAAGGTTCACGCTAAGGCTGATTAAAAGACCTGGTAAATGCTACACAACTTAAGTATTGCTAGAAGAGAAATTAGGCGTTTATTTTTTTTATTTTATTTTTTTTAGTAAGATATTATTCTGTTTTATTTTTACTTCCTTATAAAAAATCAGAAAAATGGACAACTATAATGTAAAAACATCGATAAGATTTGTCCTAATGTTTATCGAGACGTTGATGGGAGGATTCAGGAGGAACTATACCGTATATAACCGTAGGACATCATCAAAAATAGTTTGTATTTACACAGAAATAATTACTCTTGTCTTAAACATAGTACAAAGCCATGCTATTTTTTATGCGAGAATATTTTACTTTAATATTTAAAGGTGGAGGACTACTCCTATTAAAAGTTCAATTTTACAAATATCCAACAAAGTAAAAATTTAAAACTTACGGTTAAGAGGAAAGATATAATTTTTTATGAGAGAATGCCATAAGGGCGTGACCTACATCACCAAATTTTCAAAATAAGTAGGTTATATAGGACAAACGGCTCAATATTTTTGAAGCCACCTTTTTTTCTCTCGATTTTGTGATCACATTATGTTACGATCCAAGTAAAAAGCAAATGTGTATTTACGAGTTTTTAGTACCTAATTAAATAGAGAAAGTTTGCCACCCTCCTGATTGAAAACGCTCCAATTCCAAGATTTTTCGTAAATAAAATAGTTGTAGGTTACGATGAGAAGAAACAATTTACGAAGTTTCAGGCGGATGTTGATAATTCGATAAAAATGGGTGTGTATGTACAACGGACTATATCACAAACAGTGAAACACCAACTCTGAGAATGCCTCCAAATTAAAGAAGAGAAAAAAAAATGAACCTATCGAAAACATTAGGAGAAATTCTGCAAGATAGTGAAGAGCGAGTCTCTACTGTGCTTAATTTTTTTATGTTTACAAAGTACTACGAAAATATATAAGTTAAAGTAAAACGCTAATGGCCCTTTAAGGTAGATGCGGAAAAGAGAGAGAGAGATAAAACAAAAATAAAAACTTTATCGTAGAGAAAATAATCTGGACGAGATGGAATTCGGATAATTCCGTTCTAAATTACGAAGGGTATCCAAACAGGCAAGTGACATTAGGACGGACAAAGAAGAAATGTGAATGAATTCGGGAGGGGAGCTCGGTAGGGTCGGGCCGAGGCGCTGATGGGAGGATTAGGGGGAATAATAATAAAGCCAGACTAATCATTATGCCGAGGGGAGGGTGTGTGTCCTGAATCTTCGTTAGTCCATCTCTACCAGCCCTGGTTAAAAACCAAGGTAGGGTACAAAGTATTTTTTTTAAATCTCTAGACAGCATTTGTGAATCCGGCAGTAATAAATCTAGGACATTTTATCTTATTTTTAGAGGGAGTATGTGTAATGAATAAGGTGAAGTCATTATATGTAGGAGTTGACAGATATTTTTTGCCTCAAAGCGGGACAATGTTTGTTTGAGTTTTGTAAAATTAAAAACTCAAATACTGTTGAACTAATTAGTTTCTTATAGTGTCAGAAATTTCGGTGTGGATCATTATGTTGAATAAAAGTTTTAAAAACTTCCGCCATTCACACTTTTATTAATTTCTGAAAATAATATCTGTAGTAGAGAGTTGTTTCCTGGGAGGAAGCAAACACTTATGCCCCGTTTCGCATTAATCCTGTCCGTCATTTTTGTTGAAGTACTTTAATTTTAGAGATTATCACTTATGATAATCGATTGTAAATTTATTTTGTCCAAAAGACTAACCAGACTTAAAATGGAATGTGAAGTTATGTCTTTTATTTATAAATATAAACCGGATAACGGTTAATCTATGTGCCACGGCACTATTCCGTAGGGTCTATTAAATTAATTTATAAAAATATACAGTTCTTTTTTTATTCGTACATAGGCCATATCAAACATAAATCAAAAGTTTATTTCAAAAGGTCACTAAGTACACTTTTGATAGATTTTTACCTGACGGTACCCACAGGGGTGCCCACCCCTCACAAAATTGATGGCGCAAGAACCTTCTCCCTCCTTTTTCCAAAATATATTATTTCTCTCATCTTCTTAATAACAGTGCAAACGAAAGTAAAATTTAAAAGATCGTAAATCATATACAATTTACAATTGAACTTTCCGTTTTAAAAATTCATGATTATGCCGAAATGTGCCCTATCAAAAAATGAATACCCCGTCAAAATATGACCCCCCTCAAAAATTTTGAAAAAACAGTTTTACTAAGGGCACGATGTTCTGATTTTACAGAGCCAAAAGACATCGAGTTACTTAATCATATTCTTGTTCTCTAAATAGGTTAAAGTACAACGCCAAAATTCACTGTTTGGTACACCATGACTTATTTCACTGGATTAATTGATGAGATGGTTAATACAACTAACGAAGTGAGGTATATCTGACTCACATTCTATGTACTTGCAAGTTATAACCCGTGGTACAGACCCCTTTTTATCGAATTTTTAACGTCCGCCTGAAACTTCGTAAATAGTTTCATCTCATCAACCTACAACTATTTTATTTAAAGAAACTCTTGGAATTGGTTTTTTTTTAATCTGGAGGAGGGCAAACTTTATCTACTTAATTACATAGTAAAAACTAGTAAATACCCATTTCTTTCGATACAAAATCGATAAAAAAGGTGGCCTACAAAAATATTAGGCCGTTTGTCCTATACAACCTCGTTATTTTAATAATTTGGGGGATGTAGGCCACGCCAAACGGCTCAATATCAAATTACGTTACGATCCAAGTAGAAAGCAAATATAAATTTACGAGAGTTTTTAGTACCTAATTAAATAGACAAAGTTTGTTCCCATCCAGATTGAAAACGCCCCAATTTCAAGAGTCTTCGTAAATAAAATAGTTGTAGGTTACGGCGAGATGAAACTATTTACGAATTTCGGGGGGATGTTAATAATTTAATAAAAAGGGGTCTGTACCACTGATTAATAGTAAAAAGTAAGTATTTTGTTTAACTACTATGGTGTCATCAATCAATATCAAAAAGTCACTTATATGCATCGTGGTCTCAGTTGTTTTCATTGTTATCTATATGTTGAGTATTTTAATTAATTGTCGAAAATAGAATACATGTTTAAATTACAAATAACAAAAAATAATTAATCAAGTTGCTATTTAAGTGTTTTTCTAATGAAATTAATGACTTTTGCAATAAAGCGAGAACAAACATTCCTCAAGTAAAATGTCGGTATTGATTGGAAACATGTTGTTATTGTAGAGACTAAGAAGTGAGGACGAGGCACTAATGATGATAAAGATGATAGGAGTTATATAAGATTACAAGAGAGTAGAGAGGAGGAGGACATCGACCCAGGAGTGGTCTACTAATTGAGAGGGCCCAGCTGCCGTGGGCTTTACGATCGGCCTTGGCTCTAGACAATGGCTGCCTTTGTGCCTCCCTTCTGGGCTGCCCCGCCATCCCGCCGCTTAGCCACGCTCTGCCTGTTAGCCCGATCGTCATGGCGGAGGGTATGCTAAGCCTTGGCCAAGTCAGTGTGTGTGTGTCGCATCCAGCCAATGGGGGCAGGTATAAGAGAATTCAACAATCCGGACATTGAGAGTTTCCATCGTCTGGGAAACAGCTGAGCAACTTGCAAGTAAATAACATTTAACAACTATACGCTTAACAAGATCAAAATGTTTATTTGTAAATAAGATACAAGATAATCCATGAGTAGCTAATGGAAGTTGGAAAGGATCCGAGCCGGAGATAATTGGAACAGTTAGTATGAGAGGATGGTGGTCAGAGCGGGACCAAGGCCGCACGTCGGGACCCACCATCACGACCCTACTATCGGACCATCGCGCCAGCCCACCATCACTACCTCCTGCGGCTATTTACAACTTGCCCATCTCTGGCAGCTAGAGTCAAGATTACTATCCAACAAATTGTAAAATCTTTTAAAATTATAAAACAAATATTTTGAAGGACCTCCAGTTGTTGTCTTGAACCCCGTATTTGCACATACAGGATCAACTTTTAGGGCTCCTCTAATAAATTGCATTACTCTAAAGTAATAATCTTTCTTAAAATAGTAAACGAGATTTTTATTGTGCCACAAACAAAATCATCCATTTAAATCTCAACCAGTATATATTTATTAGTACCAAAATAATACAAAGATATATATCGCAGTATATTATGATTAAGGGGAAAGTAAACAGTTTGCAAAGCATTCCTCAGAACGGAAAAATAATAACTTTCTCACTACAAAAATATTTTTATTGTCAGGCCATCATTAGTTTGGTGTATAAAAGGAGCTGCCCCGCATAGCCATGTTAGATCTAAATAGAAATATGTTCAATTAAATTTAGATAAATCCAATATTAACGTGAAACTCACAAGTCAAAATCTAACATTCGAATCTGCTTAGAAACTGTCAATCGATAGTTTCATCATAAGTTACTATTATATTTTATTAATTCAATGGTCGGAGGTCAGTTGTAAATCCCAGAAAATAATAAAAAGTTATTATTCCTAGACAATTCCACGACAAAGAGAAACAAAATAAAAACAAATAAATAGTCCGCCCAAATTGTAACATTTATTGTGTGGAACTTAAATCAATAACAAAAAAATATATAAGAAAAAGATCGACGAAATCTTTCTGGATTAATGACGGTTTGTATATAAACCTATATATTTTTTCACAATAGGGCAAGAATATGACAATAATCTATCCTGTTTTATAAAATAATATTAAGTATTGTAGATATATCATATCTAAAATACCCAGGAAATAAATGACACATCAGTTAGCATCATCGTATAAGGAAAAATGGAGAATAAAGAAAAGCTATGCTCGGTGAAATACCAGAAGCCGAAAGTCAAGACGGAAAGAGGTCAACTCAAGAAGGGCCAACTTACACCCATCGCCCAATTGCCGGAACAGTAAAACACACCCTTCTAGAATGTAACATCTTTTTTGCTCTGAAGGAAACCTTAAAAGTGTCTAGGGCAATGGTAAAAATCCTCCAGAACGACCAAGAAGAAACTACTTTAATATCTAAAAGAAGCAAAGTTTTGTAGAATCTAAGAATTGTAATGTAATAAGTCAATGACCCTTAGTTGTAAAGGAGAAATAAACAAATTTAGTGTTATTCAATTCCATACTGTATTAAAAATATCATTAACATGTAAAGGATTTCTGGCGAAGCATAACCTTCAACTCTACATAGTGAACTTTCTGTTTTCAAAAGAAAAAAGACAATAAACAGATGAATACCTTCAGGCCAACAAATAAGATCAGAGATAGCAATACAATATATTGCTGTAATACATTAAATATAACTCTTGACTTGATCCGGCTATTTCGAGTTAGTATATTTTTTTTTCTGGACAGCTAATGTTCTATTTCCTAGTGGTGTAAATATTTGAAATTCAGAATACATTGATAAATGACAACGATGCATTAACTCATCCAAGATAAGCATTTGTACGGAAGGCTGATGCAACATTTTTAAGTGACGCACATAATTCTCCATTTTTTTTTTTTTTTTTGTGTCTCGGAAAAATCAGGAGAAACGAGTCCATTCGTTAGCCTCAACAATGGAGATAAATGGCGTTGTTTTAAGTTTAAACGCTGGCGACGGTCCAATGCGCCGACCGTGCCAGACAATTTGCCAATCACGCGGGCGAACTTAAATAAAAATTGTCTGAATAAAAAGTTGTTTTCATCATCTCAGTCCGCTGTTATATCTGATAAAATAAATAAACCTCTTTATCGAAATGCCAACTAATCAGCCACTTATCTCAATGGAATAGTGAACTCTTGTTTGTATCGGCTTGCGTCATGTTGGCGAGGCTCGGTGTGGGACAATTAGATGATATGTCTGCCATGGAGGAATTGAGAGTAACTGATTGGAACCGGTTTTGCTGGAACACACCTTAAATAAAAAAAAGGGAGAAAAAAAACTGAGAACGGGTAGTAATTTAAGGCGCCCGCTCCTGACTCAGCACAGGCATCGAGGTCATGGCTCACCGGTGGGTACGTTCTAACTTCATCATCAACGCACTCCGAGGAAATGACCGGGTTCTATCTGCCATCACCGACATTTACATCCATCAAATCGATATCGATTCTCTTAAAATTACCGTTGTATGAATATTTAACTTAATCTTATTATATGAATATATAACACGAGATATAAATTCTATTTTCATAAAACGGATTCATTGAGTCTCATTTAGAGGAGTTCACCACACGTGAAAGCAATATTTTTACTTCCCAATTTAAACATTTGCAACTCTAGTAAAACGTTTCGTACAAGGCACACCATTATAGAATGAACAACCTTCATATTGTATTTAATTTATTATTATCTATAAGTTGATATAATCAATGAAGGAAAACAAAAACACAATCAACTCTCAAAATTTGAGATTTTACTAGAACACGTAGAATCCAAAAATCCTACAAAAAAGTCTGTGGATACTCAATTAAAATATAATAAAATTTTATCTAAAACAATCGGACGAATTGGGGCAGAGATGTGGCGTTTAGAACTTACCTCTCTTTGACCGCTAATGTTCACATGTATAATATTATATCAACTTTGCATATTTATTTTGTTTTTATTAAGTGGAAACATTTTATCTACGGTAGTACTCAAGATTATTGTTAGAATAATAATTTGGTTTTCTAAATTTCTTAAAAAAAAAAATCATATTACATTAAAATTTAGCCACTTTCGTAATTAATTTAATCGTAGCAAACCTGGAAATAAATATGCCTTCAAAATTATTAATTAATGTGAAATTCATAATAAGTATGAACATAAAAAAAAAAATTATAATAAAAATCTATCCAGAAAAAAAGAAATTGCAGTAGAGTATTGCCCTTTACTGGATGATCACACAAATCAAAAATTTATTCTGACGCTTTCGAACTCAAAGATGGCCGTGAACAGTTAAGATAGTGTTTAGGAGCGATGTGTACCCGATTGGATCAGTTAGTAATTAATCCACGACGCTTCCGCTAAAAGATTAAACTCCGGTTATAATATGGCGGGGGAATCATGTCAAAACTGTCATCCTTATATACGAGGAAACTATCTGTAAACTAATGCATGAAGCAATCAAATTCGGTTCCGTACATAATCATATTGGTAATGCACAGCTATGCTGAATTTATTTATTTATAGAGTGTTCAGTATAATTCCGTTAACCATTCATTCCATTTTTTTTTAACCTGACAACTAACAAAAATTCAATTAAATATACATTGGTATAACTTTAAAATTCAGAAGCTTTACGAAATATAAGATGTATTTACTGGAGTTATATAATTACACAGGAAGCCACAAGCTCTTCAAGATGAGAAATCTCAATAGAAATGTTTTTCAATTCTTAAAAAAACGCAGTCATCGCCTTCCCGAACGAGAAATACAAGGAGTCAGCAATAGGAGTTTTCTAATGTCAGCTGAAAAGGTGAATTCCCCGTCATTGTCCGTGAAAGGGGGTGCTTACACTGCGCATACTCTACCCGCCCAATAACTACAGCGAGGAATAGCCAAGCGATTCCTACACAGTGGCAACAATATTGACTTATCGGACCTCTTTGGCAAGATTGATAGACCATTCATCTATTGTTAGAGCACTCAGGTCACCAAAGCTGGCTGAAATGAATCTCGACCAATATCTCTGGATGGCTTTTATTATTAGTCCATAGAAATGGAAAAATATTCATAAATAAAAATTATCAATGTAAAATATTTGCATGTTGCATTATCTGAGAATCCAACGTATCCGAAATTATGCTTAGTTCAAGATAAAGTCTACAATAATCTTTAGTGTTAACATAAACATGACTCCGAGATTTAACAGAAACCGTTTTTTTTTTTTCTTTTTTCTTTTGTCTGATAATAGTTGATAGAGTAACCATTCTTATCACTACACAGCACTAATCCTACACTCAGGAATCGAACATAGAAGTTTGAATTTTAAATCCCAACGAGAATTCATGAAAAAACAACAACAAAAAAAACAAGCATACTGAATGATAGATATAGTTTAGAATCTTTAATACAGTTTGATATCTACGAATTCCTGATTTTTAAAAATACTAATTTTAACCTAACATACTGACATCCACCTGTCAACAGTGGAACAACCCACCATGAACCAAGCACACTTAATGACTGAGGTTGTTGGGAACAACTATGCAGTTTATTATATACGATTCTAAATTAATTAAAATAATAATTTGAAATCTGCATACTGACTTCACATGGCCATAACATACTAATAAGAGATATGGCTGCCGTTAAAAGAAGCATTAATACAATGAGAAGATTAAAAAGTAGGCGGATGGGAGATCTATTTTTTTTTCTAACCAGTGTAATAGAATCAAGTCAGGGAAGGGATACTACTGGGTACTTCTCTTTTCCCATGCTAATTGTCAACAATGGTGAAATTTTATATTTAAAGAAGAAAAAAATTGAATTCAATCCAATCTCCAA